AGGAAGAGGTGGTGGAGGCAAGAGGTTGGTGCTCCTTTGTTTTAGTGTGAAGACTTTTAATGAAGTCCTCTGATATTTAGTGTTATTCTGTGACTATTGAGTTTATTTGATCTTTTCCTTGTTCTCTACTTCAATTATTGTACATGAGCATCGTAATTGAAAATAATGTCTTGGTAGTGAAGTTTTGCAGTTCTTCTATTCTGAATGTATGTCAGATGAGCATCACACTCAAATCGTTTGGAAAGCGCTAGGTACTTTTACTCTCCATATATAGTGCCTAGCACCTATGTTGCCCTAAGCGTTGGGTAGGTGTTTTTCAACACCCAGAGAGGAAGGATCTTTTTTTCTGCAAAGATTCAAAATCATATCTTCATCATTTTATGCGAGGTGAACATGGATCGAGTTCTGATATGGTCCTTTAACTTGATCCATTCTCTTCACCCGTTGTTATATTTAAGCGTGCAATTAACCCCTTTTTGACGCGATGAATCCACTCAAGTGTGTCATATTCGCCTTATAGCTCTCAAGAAATTAAGTGGACGGCCTAGGTGCTGCATAGGCTTAGACGGGCGTTCAGAATGCTTTTTAAACAATGATCGCAATTGATTGTACAATGTGATGTATGAGCATATCATGCCACAAAGCATTTGTGGACAAACATTTATGCTTTTAAAATTTTTATGTCATCCTCATTTATTTTTTCTACCATTAGACGGCCATGTCAGAAATCTTCTTACTCTGCTATCTTTGTGTATTTGTAAGTCTAGCAAAATTAGCTACATAATCATCCATGAAATGGCCAACCTTATTGTTTCATAGGTTTTTAATGCTTCTGAGTCTGTTTCTTAAGAAGAATGTAAAAGGTGATAAATTTTTGCAGGATTGATGAGGATGAGCTTCATAGGTTTTATACTGCAACAAAAGGAGACATTTCTTGCTTACTTTCATCCCTCAAGAGAACCATTCGTTGGAGGGAAACTTATTACTTACTTTCACAGGAAGAACTTGAGAGTTGGTCAACATTGGTTTTTTGGCACGGATTTGATAGAATGTTTCGGCCTTGCCTTGTCATTTGTCTAGGACACGCATGCTCTAGTTTACAACCTCATGATAGACCACGCTTTTCCCAAGCTGTTGGTATGAACTCTTTCTCAATGCTTCTCTATTTGATTTGCTTGTTGCTGCATTGGCATGAAACATCACAAGATGGTACCAGTTCATGTATGATGAGTTTTAATTGTCGTAAAAGCTTATCTTGCCTGAATGAAAATATTGGCTGAAGTCTATTGGTGCAGATGATTTTCTGCTAGCTATGTTAAAAAGCATCATAACTCAGGGTAGTATGTAAAGTTGTCTAAGAGAAGAAATAAAAAACATTCTATTCTAGTCCTTTTCCTGTCTTTCTGCTGCATTCGCATGAATTCTAATGCGAAAGCCATATCTGTCACCATGACTAACAATTTTAATTGTATTCTCATGTTATTTTATGTTTTTCTACTTTTTGCACCTAATCATTTTGTAATTTAAAGTTGGTAAATTTGAATTACTTATAAATGCGTGGCACGAATGTGTATACCCACTTCTTTAGTTCTATTTGAGAAAACATCATTAGCCTCCTGCGGGTAACTTCGGAGATTGCTTGTAAAATCTTTGCTCCGAAGTCGTTTTTGTCTGCAAACATCAAATATGTACATATCCTAGTTAAAACGAAATCAGGGTATAATCATGTAAGAATGATAAAGTGCAACCCATCTGCACTTCACAGCTGATGGGAGAACGCACACGTGGATATCGTAGAAGTTGTGTATGCTGAGAGGGAGATAGATCAATAACCCTGGGGGATATTGCAATTTGATGACTTCTTAAGTTTCTCCTCTAATTTGGTGGGGCTGTTCTAAAAGCAGTTTTTACACGAATTGTTTAGTGTTCAATTAGAATTGGGCCTTGGGCGAGAATGCTTCAAGCTAAACTGCTCCAGTCTTGCTTTGGTAGTTAAACACCATGAGGTTTAGTCTAATCAAGAGGGAACCCATATGACCTGGAGAATCCATTCAGCATATAAATCTGTTGCTACCTGAAAATATATATGAGGAGAATTCCTTGTGTTCATTGGACTCGTATGGTTTGTGATTTTTTTTGCATCAGTCGTATAGTCTTATATTTTGATTCAATAGTTTAAAAGGTACAACATTTACAAGGTAATGAAATAAGCAGTAATTTTGTCAATGATTAACGGGTAGTAAGTGCATGTTTGGAAACTTACTTATTTCTACTAATAAGTAATCTTTCACTTATAAATTGGCAATATTGTGTTTAGTAACAGTCACTTAAGTTTTTTATTTGTTACCTATAAGTAGCCACTCAAATAACTTGGGATGTCCCAACTTATTTTTTGGCTACTTATAAGGAACTTGCCTTATTCTGGCCAAAAGACATAAATACCCTCCTATTACCTTTACTTAGTTAAATATTTTCTTATTATAAAGTGATTAATAATATTAATTAAGTGGTTAATTTATTAATTAATTAGTTAAGTTATTAATTAATTAATATTATTTTATTAATAATATATAATATTATAATATATACTATATATATGTATTACAATGTATAATAATAATAATGTTATAATATATAATTAGAATATATATAATATTATGAAAATATTATAATAATATCTTTATATTAATTATTTTATTATTAATAATATTTTTATTAATATGAATGTAATTAATTAATCACAATATTAGTAATTAGTAATCACAAATAATGTAATATATATTTTAATTATATGTTTCTTATTATGAAGTAACTAATTTTTAATTAATTAAATCATTATTTTATTATAATAATATTTTACTAATATGAATTTAATTAATTAATCTCAACATTAGTTATTAATAATCACAATATAACGCAATATACAAAAATAGTTTAAACAAATATATTTTTATATGAGATAACAAAATTTTTATTAATTAATTTTATTAATAATAATATTTCATTACTATGAAATTAATTTATTATTCTCAATATTATTAATTAATAATCATAATTAATTTGAAATAATTAATTTTAAATTGTTTACTTTTTAAATAATTGATAGATTTATATTATTAATTATCTGATTAATATAAAATGAATTAATAAGTCACACTACGGAGTTATAACATTATGTCCTTTTTGGTCACTTGACATTTCAACTTTATAAATTCACGTAACTACTTATATGTTCTTATAAGTTAAGGGGTTTGCCAAAACAACTTCCTTATTTTCTTACATAGTTTTAAGAAGTTTTGAGAACAAGTGATAAGTAACTATAAGGTTCAAAAAACAAGTAGTAGCCAAACATGCTCTTAGTGTCATTATGTTGATAGCATGTGTTTTGTGTTTGTGCAGTATCTCAAATAGAACATGGAGTCCTACATTTGGTAAATGAAGCCGATCCTAGAATCACAGTGTTGATGGACTGTGAAGGATTATCTCCAATAAGATTTCCTATGCAAATGCTAAAATCTTGTGCAACGATTTTACAAGATCATTATCCAAATCGGCTTGCGGTTTTATTTCTTGTGCGACTTCCTCCCATATCGCGAGTTATTACACAGACTTTTCTGAAAGTAAGACTCCATATAGTCAAATTATCTTTTTTCTTTAATAATTGGAGCTTCTTGTGAATATTGATATATCTTACTTGAAAACTTGAAACTACTGAGTCTCTATATTTTTACTGCAGTGTTGATATATCTAGTTAATTTTTCGCGATGTTTCATTTTGACATTGTTAATTTAATCATGTTATCCTAAAATTTGAGATAAAGGCTTTATTGCTTTTGTTGTTATCCTTTTTCATATATGAATTTGATGTCTTACTCCATATTTCTTGTGTACTTCCACAAATTTCTTCTATTTGGAATCCAAGTCTGTTTTTTTTTTGGTTCAGGCTTGTGTTCATGCTTTTATCCATTGATTTAGTTGCTAGTCTTTTTTGTAAGTTATTTTTATTACTTCCTCTAAGATGCTCATAAATTTTTTGTTTATAATTGTATGTATCTATCAGAATTTACATTATACATAGAGTTAATACAAACTAAATATGTATGAGCTTTTGCGTAACTTTTTGCCCTGTATTTTTCAAAATACTGTAAATTTGATTTTTCAACTGCGGCGAATTGTTCTTGACCGCTAGTTTTGGGACTTAGCCTTGGTGAATGGTTGTGCTATGCTTGACTTGTAAGTTTGTGCAGGTTCTGAAGCCAGCAACACGACAAAAACTACGCATTGAAGGAGAAACATACCGCAAGGTTCTTTCTGAATTTCTTCAGAGCGTACCTGCGATTCTTGGTGGTAATTGCAGTTGCCCAAGATGCAGGATGCTTATTGCTGGAAAAACTGGGGACCAGATGGAGGAGGAGAGTAGCGAACAAGAGACTAGTGATGATTCATCGAGTTATGAACCATCCCCTGATGATTATCCAGTCACTGAAAATTTTTTCAGCCGTGATTGTGAACATTACTTGAGAGCTGCTATTGTAGGCTTCCTCATGATCTGGATTATCATTGCTTTTCTTGCTGGAATGTATGATCCAAACTCGTCAGTGTCAGTGTGAAGTCTTGTCCTCTCTGCTAAGTTCTGAAATTGGATTGTCACCATAGGAATTAGAAAGTTCTCCTATATATGAAAAATTACCTATATATGTGAAGCATCATCTTCAGTCATTGCCTTGTATACAGTAAGTTTTTGTTTATAGTTCGTCTGTGACGTATATTTAGAAGGGTTTTGTATGACTGCGGTCAATTTAAAGGCGGCTTTCTATTTGATATCATTTCGTATTGGGTTCTAAAGTGTGTTAAAGGGAGTTGTGTAATAATTAGAGCTCTCAATATCTAATTCAGTTTCATGAATAATGAACTTAAAATTCTATTATATACTCGTGGAATGCGTCACAATGATATCTCCAAATTGTAAATGCATTTAGGCCGATAAAACAATTACTTAGTCTTGCGTACTAGATTGGTAGATATTTGTATGTGCATTAGCTCATTACAGTGTCGCATTTGGAGATGCAATTTAATTGCTAGAACAATGTCAGCTTCCCAGTTTTTATAACTAGTTACTGTCTTCTCAATGACTATTTTCTCTCTTTTTGTGATTGTACTGGTTATTCTTTTCTCCAGGGTAGATAGATTAAACTTGCACTATTATTTGCTAGATCTAACACATTCTCGAGCTGCGTACACAGCTTTCCTAATGAAGATGATTGGAGGTTCTTCTACTTGAAGCTACAAGCTTGATGCTTTCCTAGAGTGCAAAGAGGAGCTAGAGATCAATTCCATTGCATTGAAATTTGGAAGCAAGCATTATAGAAGGTAACAAATTCTTCGTCTCCTCTGCTTTGGATCAGTTTTCAACTCCGGTGCAATTGCACTTATCACTACCTTTCTACTGTAGGGATATGGTATCAGTGATGAAGATAAGTGCAGCCTATTAGCTATCAGCACTCAGATTGGATGTTACAGGTTAGGTTTTGGTCTTTGAATCATCCAATGTGCCTTTATTCTCACTCCATGGATCGACACCTTGCTTGTCATATATAAGTTTCCATAAAAGGGAGATTTATTTTCTTCTTTGAGGAAAAAAGTATGATGAAATGTTAAATATCAGGGAAATCACATTGATTGAGATAGATTAGTGCTGCTGTTACTTCTGGGGTTAGGTTTTTGCAGGGATCCTGCTGAGTAGGCCTCTGCCCCAGCACTGCCAACCACAGGATTTTCGTACTCCTGCATTAGAATACTCTTTATGTGGATTTTGTGTCACCCACCATTCAAGAAAATGGTTGGTGGATCATAAATAACAAAATAGTACTAGTTACAGTGACACATCTATTGCTCTTCCTCAATCTAATTTCTGGCCAGATAAATTGGGGGTATCTTCTGAAAAGTTTAAAATTGGGAAGTATAGAGTGCTTATATCGTGGCCCCCATAGATGTAGACTTTAGCCCTTAATCCTCTTCAAAGGGTACCCAGAGCCATTAGTGGAGATCGTAGAGGATGCCCACTACAATTTGAAGAAGTTCTGCACGAGTTGTTTGCTGAGCTAGTTAGTTTGGTTTCTCTTCTCCTTTGTGACAAGTTAGTGGAGTGAGTGGTGGAAAGGCTGAAATGTATACGAGGGAATTAAGAAAAGCTTGTAAATTGGAACCTTGTGCATTAAAGTTGAGTATCTGGCCCTAATGGAAAGTGAAGCATAACTCCTGGATATTGTGAATGGTCGCCATGATTTGGATATTTCTTGTAGAATTGAGAAAAGTTTTTAGCAGAATGTCATTAATCATTATGAAGTCTCATGTCCTTGTGCAAGATGCAACTTTAGAAGCTTGCAATTTTGATAGAATCTTGGAAAATTTGAGATGGCTTGTGTCGGATCATGTATTTAATGCAGTTTTGTATGTGTTGGAATTTGATTGGATTCATCTATTTATGTGGACTATCAATAGAGAATGTTGTTGAGATTTAGTAAAGTAGCGTTGTAAGCATGCCCCATATTTGTATGACGTTGGTGTTGGAGTTGATATGATTTAGAATCATGTGAAAGAGAGAATGAAGATTAGTTAGAGCAGCAGTCTTTATATGTGGTACTTTCTTATATACTGATCTCTCTATCTGTGCTCCACTGATGTAGGTCGGATTAGTCTGATTAAGCATCCTCCGTACTACTATTTTTTATGCTTGTGGTTGTTGTAATCTACATACCTAAAGTTTGTAAACTCAAGTAAATGTGGAGTAGGGCAGCGCTAGCTGGTAGGGGTGGGCGCACTGGTAGGGGTGGGCGTGCGCCGGGCCAGTTCAGGCCCATGATCAGGCCTGCCGGGTTCAAGACGGAGCTAGGTCTCACCTAGGCCCGTGCGGGTCAAAGTGGGTTGAGCCTGCTTCTTTGATCTCGGGTCTAGGATTGGACCAAGCCCGGCCTACGGCCATGGGTCGTGAGTCAGCCCATGAGTTCTTTTTTGACTTTTTATTTTCTATTTTTTCATTTCTAAACTATATTAACTTTGTATTCATAGCTATAAATTTAAATTTAATTTAATTTTTTCCTATTTCAAATTACGTGTGTGGTATATATATAAACATCACACAGAAAAATATCGCAAACATAAAGATACATGTAGTTCGGACTTCGAAGGAATACCTGGCTACCTGAGGCCCATTCATTTTTTGCTAAAAAGAATAAATTTTATAATTAAACTCTGGTCGGGTCGGGCTGCGCTAGGCCTGTGGTGGGTCGGGCCTATGTGGGCCGAGCCTGCTTCTTTGGTCTTGAGTCTGGATCAAAACCCAGCCTAGCCCATGAACCACCACCAATGTTGGTCGGGTTGGGCCGGGATTAGACCCGAGGCAGGCTGGGTCGGTTTGACCCGTGGTTCGAACTGGCCCATACCTAACCCTATCAGCAGAGTTAAAATTTTTATCTTCTAGTCTTAGACGATAGGAAAGATAAGTAAGGAGAACCGTTTTTCATGGGTGAACACTGTGTACATGGAATGCTTACATGTATTATGAAGTTGTACTCAAACAAACATATATAGTACCCGACTCCGTTTATTCCCTGCCATATTTTTTGTTTGCTCGTAATGTCATGTATTTTGCATGTGTTACTTGTTATCTCATTATCTTCTTCATGTGTCTATATCCCATGTATTTTGCATCCGCTGTTATCTCATTTATGTTGCACGTCAACTATTTGATAACGTCTCATGTTGATCATGCAAGTAACCCATGTCTGTTCAACAGCATGTACTGTCAACAGTTCGCATGAATTTTTAAACCATCTTAGATTATTATAATTAAGCCATAATTTTCCGCCAAATCTAAATGATCTGGTGCGATATGATTTTGTTTTGACTTGAACGAACCAGAACGTGCATTAGAATTTTCTTACGTCCTTGCACAATAGTGTCATGTTGCGTTCAAATTGGCCAAATCCACGTCCATACAAAACATGGTTTATATCATTGTTTTTGAGGAGAAAGTTCCACAGCTTAAATTTTCACTATAATACTTGGTGATGTTTAGAAGAGAAATTTATGAGGAGTGTACCCAAAATCTTTTAATAAGTGGAGATGTGTCGTATGGAATCATCAGGAATCCAGAGGGCTTTTGCACCCGGGCGTAGACATGACACAGCAACCCAACTTGTGTAGATTAATTAAACCATCAATTGACCCCACCATCACACATCTACACCACAGTGGCCGGTAGGCTCCATCCTCTCTCGCGGTCAACTTGTCTCTTTCCTCACCCTATAAGAAACCCCCATCCACCAACATCCCATTTCATGCATTTTGCTTAAAACCCTTCCCACACCAGAGGAGAGCACAAAAAAAAAAAAAGCTTTGCATATCACACCATGACGGTTTCCACTGCAAACAAACCACGGGCTCAACCCAACCGCACCCAAACCCTAGAGCCTGGCCAGCCTGGTTCTCCGCCCTCCGCACCGCCCTGCTCGCTGCACCATCGTCCGCCGCTTTTTTCTTGACACGCTCTACACACCCATAACCATCCGTCAGCCACCCTTCAAGTTCCCCGGCCATTCTCCTACGTCCACCGCCGCACTCATCCTCCGGTTAATGGCCACCCTTCTGGCGGATGCCCTAAAAGGCGCGATTCTGTCCCTACGCCCGACGGTCCTCGGCTCGTGCGGCGATGCTGACGAACTGTGTATCTGAATCCGTCCGGAGGGCGATCTCGCCCTGCCGACGGCCACGCTGGCCTGTGGCCGTCATCAGCCGTTCGTGTCGGTGCGTGTTTTGGGACGTGGGTGGACGTCGTCGTCCAGCGCATTGCCGCTCGCGGCAATTGTGTTGGTATTTATGTTGCGGCTTTTGCATTTCAGGCAGGCCGGGCAGCTTTGCAGGGCCGCCGTGCTGCATCGTTGCCCGTGGCTGGCCCAGCACGGCGGCTCGGAGTGGGCTGCGTTGTCCGCTGGTGGTCCCCTACCCCAGGCTTGCTTGGTACGAGGTAACTCGATCTCTTTGCTGTACAAATTTCACTCAATATATTTAGGCGATTATGATCATTTCCTAATAGGGTTATGGTAATTGCAAATACCTAAAAAGTTAGTGTAACCAACTTTACAAGCTAATAATATTAAATAACACACTCCAAAGTTGACAACATTTCTAAAAGATTCTATTCGATTAATGATATCCACTGGCTTATTAGTAAAGGTTTATTCTTCAGCAATTTTTATATAAATTAAGATTTAGCTTTACATGAACATTTATGAGACGTGCATTAATTCAGTACGTATTTTACAAATTTGGGTTTATTTTTTGCAGGTAAGGGAGAAGAGCAAGTTGTACGGCGAGATATCATTTGAGAGGTTGAGGCTTTTTCTAAATGCATTTTGTGCTGAGAACAGCAATTGCACGGCTGCTTACATCTCTCAGGCCAAATCCTTAGGCTGCACCAGCACGAAGCTTGCTCAAAAAATAAGAACCATGCAGGTAAATGAAATTTGCAAAATTTTCTGATTACTCGTTTGTCTATATAAAGGTTGATCGTTGGTGAGCTCTGTATGATACACACGAGGACCTTTTAAAATTTTCTCTTCTTAAAAATCATGCATACTGAGGTTTTCACTCATCAAGTAGGTATATTTTTTCTTCTTCCCTTCCCCTTTTGTTACTAATGCGAGTACTCGTTTCCTTTCACAGGGCATCATGCAGTGGGAGGAATTTCCTCTCAAACTCTTACCATTCTGCATCGCATCACCCTCTAGCAGACTTCAAGCGATACCCACATCCTTGAAAGGGATGGAGATGGCCCTAGCTTCCACAACCTCATCTCCAAAAATCACCAAAGACCAAAACCTCAAAGATTACATCCTCAACCTTCAACGTCAAATAAACACCAACATCATAGGAAGTACTAGCATCAAGACTCAATCAAGTTACCCGATCTATCAACCTCCTCAACCCCTAAACGATCTCCCTCAAACTCCTCAAGAACTTCCGCCGCTCTTCTTCCTCTTTTGCATCAAGCTCCTATTTGTCAACCGACCACAACGCAAAGCTCAACAAGAAGAAACTTCCGATGCGAGGCGAAGGATCACCAAGAGGCTTGTCATTGCGCTCAAATGCTCGCTCATACTAGGCTTCGCCACATTCTTGGGTCTCCTCTTCAGCAAGCCCGACGGATATTGGGCCGTGCTCACCGTTGCCGTTACTTTTAGCCCGTCTAGGCAGTCCACATTCCGGATCGCCACCGCTAGGGCCCACGGAACCGCCATCGGCTCATTTTTCGGGGTCATGGGCACGCTTGTATCGGAAGACCACATGGAACTCCGACTACTACTATTGGTACCGTGGATCGTCTTCACTACGTTCTTGCAACGGAGCAAGATTTACGGTCAAGCGGGTGCAATGGCGGCCGTGCTCTCGGCCATGATCATCATGGGGAGGAGAGGTTACGGATCGCCTATCATGTTCACCATAGACAGGCTCACGGAGACGTATATTGGCTTTTGTTGTGTGATATTTGTGGAGCTCATAGTTCAGCCTACAAGCGCTCGGCTTGTAGCGAGCCTTCAAGCGCTCGACGAATGCATCGAGTCGATCAAAAATATAAACGAACTGAAGGTGAAAGAGAGGGAGCTTGTGAAGAGAGTGAATCAGTTGAAGAAATACGTTGAAGAGGCTCAACTGGAGCCTAACTTGTGGTTCCTGCCTTTCCCTGCTGCTTGTTATTGCGAGCTACATAGGTCTCTTACTAGTATTGGAGACCTTTTGCTCTTCTTGGTTCATGGCTTAGAGAGCTTAGACCAAGAGTGTCGTGAAATTGATGAAGCGATTAAAGGAGATTTGGACAAGTTTAAGGAGTCAGTTGGCGGTTTAGTGAAGGGATTAGTGGAGGTCATTAAGGTGAACTCACTAGACCGGCTAGAAAAAGATTTGAAGAGGAAAGCTGGCGGCAGTGGAGGTCATTAAGGTGAACTCACTAGACCGGCTAGAAAAAGATTTGAAGAGGAAAGCTGGCGGCAACGATATCGAGGAGGGTAAAGGCGAAAGCCCATGGGCCAATTATTGGGCCGACGAATGTGTTGGTTCTTTGCTTCAACATGCAAAGGAAATTGTGGAGAGGGTTGATGAGGATGCGAGTGGAGGGTTGAGGAGCCAATTGGTGCTTTCTTTCGCCACGGTTGGATTTTGTATCGAGGGGTTGATGAGAGAGGTGAAGGAGATGGAGAAGGGTGCCCTTGATTTTTTGCAAGAGGAGAACCCTCATAGTAACATTAACTTTTTTGAAATTTCTTGTAAAATCAAACGAGTTTCTTCTTGTTAGTTTTTTCTTCCATGAGTTAGATGTCATCAATATTATTATTATGCAAAACTTTCTTCAACTTTTAATAATTAGATTGCGATCATCTCACATTCTTTGTTGTCGGAGGAGAATATAGAAATTCTACAAATATAGAACAGTAATTGAAGCACAAAAATAAGAACTAAACAAGACCTTTAAACATATTACAATAGTTAATACTAGTGAATCATAGCCATGTTTGATCCATGTTGGTTATCGTTTGTAACATAATCTTGGGCCGGGCCAATCTAAATCTCGTTGTTATTCTGCGAACTCAGTGGGCCTTTTGTTTCTGGGCCTCACATTGATCTTTGGGAGAAGGCGTTTTCGTGGAGAGAGTGAACGTCGGTTTCAAAAAATTTCTTCCATTTTCGACATGTGTCTGTGTAATGATTTAAAGATCTTTGAAAAAAAAAATCTCTTGTAACTTCTACATCCTACAATAACCTGTTGGAGATATATTTTCACACTTCTATTCATTTCTGGGGTAAATTATAGCGACTAAATCCCCATCCCGTCTTATCTATACATTAGTAACTGTTATCATCCAACTATTTTAGTAGTATTTAACACTTTTATATTTGTATTTTCTGAAGATAAAGTTCCGAATAACTCCATCTCATAAGCGGCGTTAAGCACTGCTCAAATAGTTGAAGGGTGATGAGTGTTACTTAACTTTTAGATGAGGGGATTGTCTATTTTTGATAAGTATAGGAAGATTTAAGAGAACTTGATTATATTATTCACTCTATAAGTTTGTTTAAATACAAGAGAAAATAGAAAAGTTCTGACAACCTAAGCGATATGGGACTAGAATAAAGAAAAATAGGATATTCTAACTATATTACTTAACACATATATATAGCCTAAATTATAATGTCAAGTAAGTATGGTAAATATTGGATGTTTCCTTTTCATAAAAATCTACACTATCATCTATACTCACATAAATGCATTTTGTATAAAGACAGAAATAGGCGTGTAAGAAACTCATGAGTCATGATGCCCCCTCACACCCTATGCCGAGATTGTATCTTGTCGCCCTTTAGGGGAATTAGTAGTCAATCATGTTTATTTTCTTTTCTCTACAATTGCCCACTATCAAATAAATATTTCGCATTATGATGCTTTCTACAATGAACAAACGCAAAACTAGAGCGTAATAATTGTACTCTCTTAAGAATAGAGATATATAATATAATCCTTTACTCCCTTTGAATCAAGAATTTGTTTTGTAGCATGTATGCATTATGGGACAAGATTCCTCACTTGGACTATGAAAATATATTTCTAACCTTTATAAATGAACTAACAAGAAATAAATAAATAAATAAATAAGGAAAAAGGAAAAAAGCAAAAAAGAAAAGAGAAAGAAAGAAAGAGGAAGAAAAATATAGTGTGCTCCACGCTTCCAAGATCTTAGCCTTTGAGGACTAGATTAGGGCATTAATTGTTGCCACGAGGCGTTACGAAATCGATAATTTACCCCCAAAAGCGCAATATTTTGTGCTCTTTCCATTAAGAAATCATCAACTTGGGAACACACTTTATAAGGTGGGAATTAATTTCCACGTCATCCTTCTCAAATCTGAATTATGGCCAACATAAACCATTGCTCCCAACATTGGGGTTTCACTAAGATTAGCAATCAAGCACTAACGTTGATCATGAAAACGCATCGATCCAAATAATATTTCTGTACGCCTTGGTCAATTTTATTCTTGAGTAGATGTCAGGAGTTTTAAACATCACTTGCATTTTATAGAGTGGGAGTATGATAGCAAATCAAACACATTGTTTGATTAATGAGTACATAGCAAATCTTTTCCATATGTCTCATTTTCCCCTAACATTATAAAGAGATTCGAGCTTTGCTTGCATTTTATAGATCAAGAGATTGCTGTCAAAACAGGAATATAATAATATAAAATCCAAATTAAAGATTTAGAAATTTAGGTCTAATCGGGAGCAGTCGTGATGTCACTGCTCTAGAAGATTAAGGACCCGCCTATCGCCCTGGCACAATTTGTCCCCTCTCCCCTAGCGGTAAAAATCCCCGGAATTGACCGGCCTCTGCACTCGGACGTGAGTCACAGAGCTTATGCTCAGACGAAAACGGTTGCCCAAAATATGAATATAAATATGTAGCCAAAATTTTTTGGAGAAATGAGAGTAGAGAAAGAAGAGAGCTAAGAAGTTCTTCTCTTCGTTGGTGTGCTTCTGAATGAGCTCCAAGCCTGCTTATATAGGTGAGGAGAAGTGTAACCCCCGCTGAATCCAAGGGACCGTTACGCACAAATCTTGCTTCCGTTACCCGCATGCAGCCATTACAGAACGTGTAAAACGTGCAAAAATAAAAGCTTGAGAAGCAAAAAAGTGTGCGTGTGCGGCGTGGCGTGGCGCGCGCGTGCGAGGCGTGGCGTGGCGAGGCGAGGCATGGCGTGCGCGCGCGCGTGTGTGTGGTAGATATGCAAAGCCCACAAAACCCAAAACACTATTCAAAGCTCAATAAAGAGAGAACCATTATATACCCTATACTGTTCATCTCATTTTCCAATGTGGGACTATTCACAAAGGTAAAATTGCCTTTTCATGAACAAAGCATCCAACAGCCCCCCCCACCCCCCAAAAGGCAATATTGACTGAAAATAATAAATCAATAAATAAATCACAAAATAAATATAGGTTGGACAACCTTTCGTATCGTGAATTCGGGAGAGGTAGCTTTCGGCTTTGAACCTTTCCTTAGTGAGTTCATCGCCACCTGAGGGACATAATGGACTAGGCCTTGAATTAGGCCCCTTTAATCAGGTATTGATGAAAACACACACAATACGCTTCATCTATTGAGCAAAGCGGGTTGAGCGTTAAAGGCCATGCTCACAATAAACCGACTCATGAGAGTTTCTAGGGGTTAGCCCAGCCCCCCCTAACCGCGGCCATCACGGTTCCTCTCACGTAGGTAAGTCCTCAAAGGGTACTACAGCTGTTTATTTAATACCCCCCACAATACACGCGTTGGACTTATTAAGAGTAAAACTCAGCCTAGCCAGCTGTATCATAAGAGCATCGTCATCATAGAGAAGGGGTAGTAGCAAATACTACATAATGATATATAAATATATCTAGGTCGATGCTCCACACGAGAGTCACTTGTCCAGCTTGTTTCTACCACATTGAACCGACATTGGGACTACGTCTCCAAATAAGGGTTGGGTTGCCGCTGTTAGTGACCTCATTTATGGGCTTAACCCCATCTCCCTCGATGAATCCAGAACCACATTCCTGGATAATCTCTTAGTCAAAGGGTCAGTAAGATTTTTCTCAGACTTAAGATCACAACTTTGCCTAACAGGCGTTGTACAGAATTATATCTTATTTGAATATGTCTGTTATGTTTTTTATTTACATATACTTGCTTTAGAAGCTCTATGGTAGATCTAGAATCAGAGTGAATGGAAATAGGAGGAGAGGGTTTAGGGACCAAAGGAAGTTCAGATAGAAGATCTTTTAACCATTCGGCTTCTGTGCAAGTAGTATCAAGAGCAATCAGCTCAGATTCCATGGTGCTCCTGGCAATTATTGTTTGCTTACATGATTTCCAGGATACAGCAGCACCACCAAAAAGAAATACATATCCAGATGTAGACTTTACACTGTTGGAATCCGTGACCCAGTTGGCGTCACTATACCCTTCTATAGCATCAGGGTAACCAGTATAAGTCAAGCAATAGTCAATTGTACCTTTTAGATATTTGAATACTCTTTCTAAGGCAGTCCAATGATCTTTGCCAGGATTGATAGTATACCGACTCAGTCTCCCTACAGCATAAGCTATATCGGGTCTGGTTCGGTTGGATATGTAAAGAAGAGATCCAATCATCTGAGAACATTTCAGTTGGGAGATAGGTTCACCTTCATTCTTCTTCAAGGATATAGAAGAATCATAAGGTGTGGAAACAGGTTTAGAGTTATGAAAGTTGAATTTGATTAGCATTTTATCAATGCTATGGGAAAGACTTAAAGATATTCCTCTAGTGTCTCTAGAGATTTTCATTCCAAGTATCATATCAGCAAGACCTAAGTCTTTCATATCAAAGTTTTTGAAAAGATAATCATTAACCTTTGAAATTAATTCAAGTGTTGTTCCAAAGATAAGGATATCATCAACATAGAGACAAAGAATGACATAGTCATTGTTTATCACTTTAGAATAGATACATTTATCGTGTTCATTCACAGTGAAGCCATATTGTGTAATGACGTTGTCAAATTTCTGGTGTCATTGTTTAGGAGCTTGTTTAAGACCATACAAAGATTTAACAAGCTTACAGACTTTGTTTTCCTGACCCTTGGCAATGAGGCCTTCAGGTTGATGCATATAGATCTCTTCATCTAAATCACTATTCAGGAAAGCAGTCTTGACATCCATCTGATGTATGATTAGCTTATGGATAGTAGCAAAGGCTAATAATACTCGGATAGTTGAGATTTGGGCTACAGGAGAATATGTATCAAAATAATCAATGCCCTTTTATTGAGTATAGCCTTTAGCTACTAATCTAGCTTTAAATTTATCTATGGAACCATCAACTCTGAGTTTCTTCTTAAATATCCACTTACAACCAATAGGTTTACAGCCTGGAGGTAAGTCGGTGAGTATCCAAGTATGATTTTCCATGATAGATTTAATTTCATTATCAATGGTTTCTTTTCAGAAAGGAGATTCAGGTGAATCCATTGCTTCTTGGAATGAACTTGGATCACCTTCAACAAGAAAGGTAAGAAAGTCTTCTCCAAAATTCTTTTCGATTCTACCTCTTTTGCTTCTTCGAGGTTCAATATCAAGAGGTTGAGAAGAACTGGAGGATGGTAGATCAGAAGGAATGGATGATCTGGGATTTTCTGAGATTTTAGATTTGAAAGGAAAGATGTTTTCAAAGTAGACTGCATCTCTTGCTTCAATGATGGTATTGTTAGATA